CCAATAACTCAACAATTGAAGTTGTTTTGAAAATAGAATCCCGTGATTTCTGTGTATGTAATTAATGTGTCATATTTTGTATTCTTTAGTCTATATGTAACGGTTCACTGATTCTCAGCTTATCTGACTAACAATTACCCCCGGCTGATAATTCGGTTTCTAATTTTTTACGTTTCATTTACAATCGTTTGTATCCCTGTTATTTAAAGAATTCCCTTTTCATTATCTAGTTACAAGTAGTTTAAACTAATCGTGAACGTTTACCCGACATGCTGACATTACCACATGCACGTGCGGTGCGCGTGTAACGGCACGCGTCCGATTAATTGAGCGCCTTCGCGAAATAAGGTATTTAATTTTGTTTCAATTAGAACAGAAAGAATAACAAAAAGTGAACCTGAATTTGTATGACAAATAACTGATTTTTGAAAATTTCATTTGTTAAAAATAAACCGAAATATGTTCCTGTGGTGCTCTAAAAAATGCTTTTGTAGAGTGACGATATAGATTAAAAACAAAACAAGAAAAACAAATTATCCCGATCCGGCGAAATATATCATAGTTAACCCGCAATAATAACATACATCAATATTTAAAAAAGAAAAAAAAAACATAGACCCTGTCAATATATAGTAAATCTTGTTACATTTCTGCTTACTGATTACAGATCCTATTTCGTTTCGTTTTTTATAGTTCAAAATTTCGTTTTACCGACTATAAGATGATAGAACCCAGATATTTCTCAGCACTGGATATTTGGTCTAATTCGGAAAGTTCGCAAAGATCCGAAAAGATAAAAATGAAACCAAAGTCTTAATTTCTAATAGATCTATTTTGTTTTTAAAGAGATTATTTTAAGTCTTAAATTTTTTGTCTGGTTGCTTTTCTGCTTTTCTTGCATTTCTGAGATATGGTGTAATTTTATGGAATAGACTTCCCATAGACATCAAAAGATCCGAAACATTGAACACTTTTAGGTCACAGTTCAGGACATTAATTTTCAAGCAAATATATGACTAGCGCTCTTGAGCAGTTCACAGGAAAGAATTGCGCTCTACAAATTCGAAATTTATTATTATATATTTGCCGATGAATAGATTAAATTCTACAAAAAGACAAAATTCTGATTTAATTCGAACGGTATAATATTATTCTAAACAAATATCCAAATGATTATCACAGAAATTTTAATTAAAATCACCTTTAGTAGCAACACTGAGAATAATTCTAATACATTATAATATTAAATAGAATCTTACTTTATTGAGGTTACTAGATATCACCTTTAAGTGTTACTCAATTGTCTCATATCGCACCTGATCACTAACGGTAAATCTCTTTGATCTTACCGAATCGAACACGGGTCGCGTGCGACTTTAATCTTGGCAATGTTTACACCTCTACCGTTATCGAAGATCTGTTGAATTTTACAACTAAAAGTTATTTTGACTGAAGGGATGATTTTGTATTTTAAAGAAATTAAATCTTATCAAACTAATCATACTATAATATGGACAATTTTCCCACTTCGAAATATCAAAATATTATATTATTTAATTAAATTATGCCGTCGTAACAAACTGGTATTTTTTTTAAATCTTAATTAGTGAAACATTTATGTAAGTTTACGCAAAATTCTTTTCATATTTTTATGTAAAATTTAGAAAAAAAATGTCAGCAAAATTTGTTTTCAACATTTACAATATTAAAACGATTTTAATTTATTCTTTTTAATTGATATTAACAGATAAAATATTTTATGAAAGATTTTTATTAAATTTATTCACAGTAACGCCCCGATAATGATTCAATTAATTTGACTCACGATCAAAACGTCACTTTGGAAAAAAAAATAAAATAAATAGAAGCCACAGATGTTACCATCTATAAAAATCGTGTATTGTGACTTTCAGTAATAAATTGTAGAATTGTTTATTTTTTTAAATAATGAACAATTTCTAAAAACTTGTCACAGTGGTATTTATTTATATATATATATATATATATATATATATATATATATATATATTTTTTTTTTTGAAATTGGTTACTGCAACGATTACTTAGCATTTTTATCGGTTTCCTAATTATCAAATAATCTAATTTACACCTGTATGCTTTCATGTTACCGCCAATACTGTTACCTTTAACTCTTATAACCGTCAAAGAAACACAATCATATAGTGCATAGGTGTCTAAATTCTAACGAAATGGTGTAAACATTTTGTTTAATCCCACAGGTAAGGAGTGAAAGGTGACACCATGGTGTTTAGGTCCAGGATAAATTAATTAAAACAATAATAATTGACTTTGCCTCTCGTTTTATCTTAAGCGTTTCAGTTTCATCTTTGTGTATTATAAGGACTACTTCAGTAGTAGATGACGAACAATAAGGGATTAACGGGGGATTAATAAAAAAGATTAACTAAAAACAACAGAATTAATCAAGGGTGGAATGCATGGCCGTTAAGTATAGGTCGAGATCTTGAAGTGTTATAGTCATCCAATATATCACGAGTCTCTATGGAATTCTTTTAATATCCGACACCCGCATTACAAAGAGAACTAAAGAATTAAAAAGCTGTTACGTTTATAGATTCAATATGATAATATGAACGTTTGACTCTTGTATGTACAGGTGCGTTAGAATAGCCTCTGATTTCAATAATTTCAGTACCATACCATATTAAAATTTTATATTAATAGTAGGCCTACAGTAAAAACACACTTCCCTTATTACGCCATGTGCATCGGAGTCGATACCTCGAGGATCGCGACTATCGTAGGAATATATTTTTATATAGGCCGACAGTAAACGTGTATCAGAGTCGTTACCATGAGGATCGCGACTATTGCAGGAATATATATTTAATAAACGGTTTGATTGGTTCAAACAATATTTTATTTCGAGTGCGACATAAGTCTATATACAATTCCTTTAATGACATCTAGTAATAGAGACATAACCAAACAACACACTATATATGAAATAACAATTACTTTGGTTTATATGGAAGAACAATTACTATGGTTTATTATAAATCAAAATATGGTAATTGTTATTCCATAAAAGGTAGCTGGGTTGGGGGGGGGGGGCGAATGGTTATCGGGGGCGCTTTGTATCAGCCATTAAGTCCCTGGAGTGGTCGCCTGTCCAACTTCGTGAATTTTCTCCCGTTCCTCCGGTTTCCTCCCACTGATAAAGACCCCTACGCGCAAGCGAATTATTGAAATAAAATTGAATCATGTGTTAGTCCCGAAATTACCTAGTTTGTGTCGAGTGGACGTTAACCCCCCCCCCTCTCTCTCTCTCTCTCTCTCTCATAAACAGTGTGTTATTTGAGTATATACCATACTAATAAATATATTGAGGATTTGAAAACAAACCGTTTATATAAATTCATCTCTGTCATGAGATGGTTTTAATGACAGTTAGTTTAGTTTTGGAGTTTTTAACTTTAAAATCCCCAGTGACAGCTATACCGAATAATCCTCTCTGGAGCGTACATTTTAAAAGATTGCATAAAGACAACATATATCGTTAAAATCTGATTAACCGTGAATAGGTTAATACAATTACATCTGGCTCACAGATAAACTGTTAAAATCCTATATAAATAATAATAAGTAATATAATGTAATAATTGATCTATAATAATCATATATATATATCCACTCATTGGATAATATACAAGACAATATTTTAATCTATTACGTTAAATTATGACACACATCATTCGATTACGGCAATAATCTGCTTTTCAACCGCCCAAAAATCCTCTAATCTCGATCACAAAAGTCCTCTAATCTCAACACACGGTACAATTTTATGGATACACAATTACTGGGTTTAATACTAAGCGACGTTTTGACGAGGATACACTCGTCTTTATCACAAATCTCGATCATAAAAATAAAAACCTTGACCAAAACATCCCGTTACGTTACAATATACACTATAGTAAATAACATTTTGTAATTATAAAATAAATTTTCCTCACCCGACTTACTACAGTAATTCATGTATTTTTTTTAAAATCAATAAAGGATGGGAAAGTTTTTAATTTTTGTTTAGCTAACAAACGATAGAGTTTCTTATTTTCGAAATACCCCGTGCACGATTTAAGGCATATTTACTTTTCCACAAGGAACATCGCGAATAATACTTTATGTTTCGAGTATCGTTCCATATTATGGGGCATGTAATAGTAAAATTTTATTGTTAGTAAGTTTCAAATTTTTATTTATTTATTATCTTCGAAATTAAATGATTTATCATGCTTGTTGTGTATCATAGGCCTTAAAGGCCGGACATTGTACACTTGTATTTTTTTAAATTGTATTTTTATTGTTATTGAAACACATAAGTAAAATAGCCCAGTCGGAGCAGAACAGTAGGACGTTAAGCATCAATTTATTATAATATTACATTCATTCATTTATATTGCGATTCCCCGGTTGTACGTGACAAGGAGTGGGATCGCCTGTCCATCCTCGTGGATTGTCTCCAGGTCCTCCGGTTTCCTTCCACTGCTAAATTGTTGAAATAAAATTGAACTAGGTTATACCCGAAATTACCTGGTTTGTGTCGAGAGGACGTTAAACCTCATTTATCTCTCTCTATAATTTCGGCATCATTCGAATCGTGCCTAATTAAGGGAGTTCACTGAATTATATGTTATAATATAACTTATACTTTTCAGAGAGTTAAATTGTGTTGATTTGGGGGGTTATACATTGTAGAGAGTTAAATTGTGTTGATTTGGGGGGTTATACATTGTAGAGAGTTAAATTGTGTTGATTCGGGGGTGGGAAGTATACATTGTAGAGAGTTAAATTGAATTATATTGGTGGTTAGAGTAATATTAAATGCACTCTGTGGAGAGTTGGATTCTATTGGGGTTATAATGAACTTTGTAGAGAGTTAAATTGAATTATATTGGTGGTTAAAAGAATATAACATGCACTCTGTATTATATTAGGGGTTATAATAATATTTCATGTATTTTGTAGAGAGTTGGATTCTATTGGAGGTTATAGTAATAATACATGCACCCTGTAGAGAGATTGATTATGTTGGGGGTTATAGTAATATTACATGCACCCTGTAGATAGTTAAATTGATGGTTATAATAATATTATTTATATTACATAGAGAGTTGGATTATATTGGGGGTTATATATAATATTGTTTATATTTTATAAACAGTTACAGTAGCAGTAAGAAGGTTATAATAATATTATTTATATTTTATTAGAGAGTTTTATTAGAGTTATAATAGCAGTAAGAAGTTAGATGCTTTATGTTTAGTATGTGGAGATGTGTATGTATTTTAATCAGGTTACGGCCATGTTTATATTTTATAGAGAGTTACAGTAGCAGTAAGAAGTTAGATGCTTTATGTTTAGTTTGTGGAGATAAAGCCTCAGGTAAACATTACGGTGTTCAGAGTTGTGATGGATGTCGAGGATTCTTTAAACGATCTATAAGACGTAGTTTGGATTATGTCTGTAAAGAGAATGGTAATTGTACTGTCGATGTGGCCAGAAGGAATCAATGTCAAGCTTGCAGATTTAGAAAATGTCTCGAAGTTAAAATGAACAAAGATGGTAAGTGTTTATTATGTAATGAAATTTAAGATTTTCATAAAATAGTATTATAATCATTTGAATAAACACAATCTGATTAAAACACAAATACTATTTCGTTTCGTTTTTTTATAGTTCAAAATTTTGTTTTACTTGTCTTTACTACACTAGGATCTGGGAGCGTTGTTATATTACCGGCGTTTTGGTTGAAGTGAGGGATAAGCCAATGAAACGGTCTGTTATGGCGACTTCTTGGCGTACCACGCACGGAACTGTAGGTAAACCACTAGAAACGTCAACGCTGTCTGATTAACCAATGTCTGACGTCATAAGGTCAAAAGCCGCTTGTATGACCCCTGACGCGACCTTCGAGTACAACTTGTCAGATATTAATGTAGTGTAGACCATCGAAAGTATAAAAAATGAAACGAAATATTGATCTGTATTTTAATCAGATTGAAATGAACAAAGATAGTAAGTATTCATAATGAAATGAAATATTAGATTTTCATAAAATAGAATTACAATCGTTTGAATATAACTTTAGATTCTTTAACAGAGTCCTTTTATCCAAGAAATTTCTGTCTCCCGACCCCAATCGATCTCTACACAATCTCAAACGAACTTTGCTCGATGGAAATCTGATTAAAATACAAGGCGATGTTTCTCGAAATCTTAACTAAAGATAAAATCTAAATTTTAGTAGATACTTCAATTTTGATTAGCTAAGCACTAAAATCAATCTAATATTATCCAATCAAATTACTAAAATTTGGATTTTATCTTAGTTAAAATTTCGTGAAACAGGCCCCTGATCTATATTTCGTTTCGTTTTTTATACTTTCGATGGCCTACACTACGTCAAGTAAAGACAAGTAAAACGACATTTTGAACTATAAAAAAACGAAACGAAATAGGATCTGTGTTTTAATCAGGGCTGGATTGGCAATAATTTTGAATCTGTTTATTTACTAATTACCAATGCTTTGGTAGTATATTGATTATAAAGTTTTATTAAAAGGGGGTCCTACAGTACACATGCGTGTTATTTAAATATAAATATATACGTACTTAACATACTTGTAAGTCCAAACGTAAATAAAATTATTTGAAAAAAAAAAAAATATTATCAATCACGTACATTGTCTAATTTTATTGTTTTCGTCGCATGTATAACAGACGCACTATAACCGTACCCCCCCCCCCCCACACACACACAGTTATTAAATCTTTAAAACTTTATCTGTATTTTCAAATTTTCGTATAATATTTGCAAGGTACGTAAAACCGAGAACCCGTATATAGATTGCTGTGCACGTAAAAGATCCCGTGGCAGTTGAAATTCGATATAAGAGCACACTGTATGGCGTATGCCCGTCTTGATTAGCCCAATCGGAGCAGAACAGTGGGACGTTAAACCCACTTTCATTTCATTTCATTTCATTTTATTTTGAATTGAACAATTTATTATTATAGTTAAACGACTAGCAGAATATTAAATGAAGTCGTGTATTTTTACATGTCTTTAACATCATCCATTATCATGTAGCCATCGATTATAATTTATCGTTCTCTAACAATCCTTGTTCGTATTTCCACTTGAGGTAGAAAATCAGCCGACAGCCTTTTATCACCAACTGTTAGTTATCTTAATTTTCCGACCAACAAAAGTCCTCGGTACTAACTTTTCAAGCGTATTCGCTATTCAATGAGTGATTTGTCGATTTGCTTAAGGGCGGATTTATTTGTGTAATTCGTCTCGTTAACTGGTTTTACGTTATTCAAATATGCACTCAATTAAAGCAACACTAATTTAGTCACGTATTAGACATGAATAGCGGAGTTATCGGAAGAGATTGATACGACACCACGGCTAAGATTTCACCGACCATATGCTATTAAGTCAGAAGTTCCCAACCTGAACGATATTGTGATTAATTAAAAATCATTGCATCAACAGGTCGATAGGCGCTCGTTTTTATCTAAAAGGGCGGGAAACCAAAGACGCGCCATTTTTTATTTGCGCAGAAGTCTATATGTATTTGTAAATTTGCATATCCTGACCGTGTCGTTTGTTTCACACGATGATCCAATATTCAATTAATAAATTAAACATTGTATTGGAAACAACACGAATCAAATTGATTAAAATAATATGGTCATATGTTTCGTGTTTTTCAACCCTGTCCTTGACCCATATATTATTTGCTTCATTGTTTTCAAGTAAATGCGGAATTTAGTTTTGATCCTGAAATCATAGAAATAAGAATATTACAAAAACATATAAAGGGCAGTAGCCATGGCTTTTTCTTTTTCTTTTTTTTTTCCACCAAAATTTTAGATTCGAAAAACAAAGTCAGTTCCATTTTCTAATACTACACGTCTCAGCTGCCACCATTACCCCCTTGTCAGTGATACAGGACGGATGGCCTGACAAGGACAGCTGTCTAGTCGTTCGGATGGGACGCAAAACCGAGGTCCTGTGTACACATTGGCGTAAAAGATTCCTTGGCAGTTGGAATTCGATATATGAGTAGGCCGTAGTGCCAACTGTCCGGGCAAAATTTCCCTCATAGCACACTGTATGGCGTATGCAGATAGAGACAGAGAGATAAATGGGGTTTAACGTCCACTCGACACAAACTATGTCATTTCGGGACTAACACATAGTTAATTTTTATTTCAATAATTCGCTGGCGCGTAGAGGTCTTTAGCAGTGGGAGGAAACGGGAGGACCCGCAGAGGCCTCTTAAGTAACGGTAGGCCAAATATACTGGGTTGTTCTAAAATTCAAGTCAATTAGGACTACCCATTCGTGTGTTGTAGCCTTTTTCTTTTTCTTAAATTCAAATGATAAATATTTGTCAAACGGTGCATGCCACAGGAAGGTACAAACTCAAGTACCCGGATGGAAAACATGCCACTTGCACACCTGTACTGACGATTACACGTGTCGCGGTCTCGTTTTCAATACAAACACGCACGACCATTATAGCAAGGGACGTAATTGTCGCGCGTGTATTCCATTACGACTTCAAACCACAGAAACGGTGACATAAACTATCAAACAATGGATTAGTGTATCGAATAACGGTTCATTTGTCTGCACGTGCTAATATTTAACCCTGTGAGATTATGAAATAAAATCCAGAGACGAAAATTCTCCATGTTAAGAAGATGAATTTAAAGAAGTGTTGAAACTGATATCAAGTACCGTGCGATATTTATCTTTCCATTCAATAACCGGTTCTGAAGAAAAGCTGAACATGTTTAGTGCGCACATCTTAACTCCCATACAAGCACGTGTAAAGCCAATCGCCCCGATCGAATACATGCGAGCAAAGCGGACACGTTAATTGTCATAATTTAATTATTCATTAATTGGTGTAAAGAATCTGTGCACGGCGGACGGTATTTTAACCCTGTGTCGAGTAGCTGAGAATCGCACAGATCTTTTTGTTGACTTTAGCAAGAAGGGAATTGTACCCTACTCCATCTTGATGACGTCCACACACTTATTGATGACGTGTTGAGATTGAGTGATTGTTTTTGTCATGTATGTTAAATTGACTATTTGGTTTGCATAAAGATATGAACACGTACATGATTGTCTTATCATTTAACAAAAGAAACACAGAAGTCCGATTACAATGAAACCCTTTCCATTAAAACATCAATAATGTTAGATTTAACATGGATGAAAAGTAAAGTTATAGAATTGGAATTGGTACTCTACCGTCAATAAAAAAAGGATTGCACATTCCAGTCGTTTTTACATCACCTGCTTTGGTACCGTTAGCGAACGGAGGAGGCTAAGAAGAACGACAACTCGCCACTTTTCCAATCCCGATAGTTTGGGCATCATTCGAATCGTGCCAATCTGATTAAAATACAGGGGCCTGTTTCACGAAATTTAAACTAAGATAAAATCCAAATTTTAGTGATTTGATTGGATAATATTAGATTGATTTTAGTGCTTGGCCAATCAAAATTGAAGTATCTGCTAAAATTTGGATTTTATCTTTAGTTAAAATTTCGTGAAACAGGTCCCAGATCTATATTTCTTTCGTTTTTTTATATACTGTTGATGGCGTACACTACATGAAAATCTCACCGGTTGTAGTGGGAGATCGCGTCAGGGATCATAGGAGCGGCTTTTGATTCTATTACGTCAGACATTGATTAATCAATCAACATTGACGTTTCTAGTGACTTACCCACAGTTTCGTACACCGCACGCCAATAACTCGCCGTAACAGACCGTTTCATTGGCTAATCGCTCACATTAACCAAAACGCGACTTATATAACAACTCCTAGTGTAGTAAAGACAAGTTAAACGAAATTTCGAACTATAAAAAACGAAACAAAATAGGATCTGTGTTTAATGCAACCATTTGGGAATGATTTAAAAATATTGTATTGTTTTAATTTCTATAAAATTAATTTAGGATCCCGTTAATACAAGGAATCGTTATTTCTTCCCAACAACTTTCCCAGATTAAAGATGCATAATGGAAGATTGCCAGTTGCCAGTTCTCGCTATAATAGTTAAAAAATAGACAAAGTAAATAGAATATGTTGAAAATTTCAGTCAAATTGCTCAACTCTGAACCGAGATATTAGATTTTGAATTTTAGGCTAGCATCGATCATCATTACTAAAGTCGGTACGATAAACAACAAAGTGTCGATTATCCAATTTTACGTTTAATTATTTTTCAAAAATGTATTCCGATCCGCTAAATATCGCAGGCTAGTGATGGCATCGAGAGTTAATTATGGTCTGGATAGGTTAATTAATGTCTAATTAATAATTTAGATAACATTTCAGGCCTAAAGAAAGACCTGCAATAGACAGATTTAGCTCTTGCATAATTTATGTTTAAGTCTGTGTATATTAAAATACAAATGGAACAATATTGTTCTCTTTTTCAGCAGTGCAGCATGAAAGAGCACCTAGATGCTACCAGTATAAACGAGACAGCCCAGAACAACTCCACCTTGACGAGAAAGCGGCTTACACACCCTTAACAGATTACATCGATAGATCAAGGTTTGTTATAAAAATTTATATCTTATTTAATATAATATCTTATTTATTAATTAGATTAATTTCTGCCCGAAGCCGTGGTGGCTAGGGAGGGAGAGAGAGAGAGTGTGTGTGTGAGAGAGAGAGAGAGAGAGAGAGAGAGAGAGAGAGAGAGATTAAAACGAGTTTCGCAATGTACACTTTGACCTTGTTAGTGCAAAACAGTGGGACGTTAAACCTCATTTCATTTCATTTATGCTTTCTATCCACAATGTTTTGTGACGACGTAAGATTTTTTGCAGATTTCCCAGTGGGTGTTACCAACAAGTTTACGCGTTCAGTTTTTTGTCACAGTTCTTTGTGGACTTGGTGGCATTATTGACTACTGGTGATGAAAATGCATCAAACAAACTTAAAAAGACATTATTTTGATAATATGCCAACCTCGTGGATTTTCTCCGGGTCCTCCGGTTTCCTCCCACTGCTAAAGACCCCTACGCGCAATAAAATTGAACCATGTGTTAGTCCCGAAATGACCTAGTTTGTGTCGAGTGAACATTAAACCCCTTTGATAATATGCCACTCTTATCTAAACATGTGACTCATTTAATTTCAGATTTGAAATTGGACAATTCGCCCAATACAGTCCACCGCTTGGTGTACCAGGAGAATATGGTTATACGAACCCCCACTTATTTCCACCATTACATCTACATATGGCCAGCCAGGGTCGGAGTCATCTCTATCCTTCCTCGGTACCCACAGGCGTTCCACACGGATTCCTTCACGTGACAGCATTAACCAACAACAACATCAACGCCAACAACAACCAAACATCAGCTGTCAGTAACGTGAGCTCTAGCTCCAATGAAAGTTTGTCTACGAGCGAAGCCAGTGATCCAGATGTGCGACCATTAAATGAATCGAAGGACATGTCGGCTGACTCTTCCGCTGACTCAAGTACTAGTAAAGATCGAACACCAAGTCCACCACCAGTTAAACATGAACGGACTTCAAAAAGTAAGTGCATATCCGTCTTATCGAGATCTCGGTTTCTGTATAAAAAAACCCAGAAAAAATCCTCTCCGAAAGAACGCGTGGTTTGAACAGAAACCGTTTAAAAGTGTTTAGTTGACAATCTAACCACAACTCTTAAACGACAATTAAGACAGTGTGGACATTACGCCGTGATCAGGTTAGCCGCATCATACAACGTAGAAAATAGAGAGCCTATGATAAGACAACTCTGTTTGGGAGATTGGGCTATTTATCACTGCTATTTCGAGGACGTTTCCAAGGTGCAAACCCTCGGTAAATATTCCACTTTAACCGGGACATGTCTGCCCCGTAATTAAGTTGCGATTGGCTTATTAGTGGGCTGAAATCAATGAGATATCCCCGAGTCCAAATAGCGGATGAATGTAAATTTGTGGCATTTTGCAGTTTCTTTAATACATGGTGGAATCCACAATTTTGAAAGAAATAGAAGAACACGTAGCCTTTATATAACCATATTTTATAAACGTCTGGTATTTGTTCTTTCAGATTCACCTACAAGCACGAGTAAAATCTCATCGAACTTGACGTCTACACCAATAATCTCGTCGTTTCATCAGCCGTTCCTCAATAAACTGACCCCTTCTCATTCTTTACCACAACCCTCATTCTCATCCCCCTTCTCCTCATCTTTTAACTTACCCAATCCTGTTCAGGACCACAACGCTTTCGTCAACTCCACCACAGAAAACGTCTTCGAGACTGCAGCTCGTCTTCTCTTCATGTCCGTGAAATGGGCAAGGAACATCCCATCTTTTCTACAGCTTCCGTTCCGGGATCAGGCGATTCTCTTAGAGGAATCATGGAGTGAGCTGTTCATCTTGAGCGCTTCACAGTGGTCACTTCCACTTGATCCAGGTAAATAAATCCTATGATTTTTTTTTTAACTTCCAGTCAATAATTTACGTTTTCTTATAAATGACGCCCGTTGAACTAAATTTAACCCGAGTTCAATCTTAAAGTCACTAGGAACGTCTGGTTTGTGGTGTGAACATGCAAGAACCCTGCGGACCAATTATAGATACAATCTCTAATGCAATCTGATTAAAATACAGGGGCCTGTTTCACGAAATTTTAACTAAGATAAAATCCAAATTTTAGTAATTTGATTGGATAATATTAGACTGATTGTAGTGCTTAGCCAATCAAAATTGAAGTATCTACTAAAATTTGGATTTTATCTTTAGTTAAAATTTCATGAAACAGGACCCTGATCTATATTTCGTTTCGTTGTTTATACTTTTGATGGCCCACACTACATAAATGATCTGGCCGGTTGTAGTGGAAGGTCGCGTCAGGTGTCGTACAGCGACTTTTGACCCTATGACGCCAGGCATTGATTAATCGATCAGCGTTGGTGTTTCTATTGGTCTACCCAAAGTTCCGTGCACCGCACGCCAAGAACTCACCATAACAGACCATTTCATTGGCTAATCCCTCACATTGACCAGAACGCGGCTTATATAACAACTCTCCCAAATCCTAGTGTAGTAAAGACAAGTAAAACGAAATTTTGAACCATAAAAATAAAACGAAACGAAATAGGATCTGTGTTTTAACCAGATTGATTCCAATGTTAATAGCTAAATTTTATATTTTATATTTTCAGCCACTCTGTTAGTAGCCAGTGGCGTAACTGCAGAAAATGCTAACAGTGAGAAGAGTGCTTATATATCATCACAGATCCGAGGATTCCAGGATATCATCAATAGATATAATTCTCTCAGAGTGGACGCTACTGAATATGCCTGTCTTAAAGCACTTGTCTTGTTTAAATCAGGTAATTATATTCTCTTATCATTTTAAAACTTTGTGTATAGATAATTCCGTTGAAAAACGACTTCAGTTAACTGGTTTAAAACAAAATAGACACTGAACTTCAATTAACTGGTTTAAAAACAAATTGGACACTGGATTTGTGACATATACGTTACATTCCCCAGTAGTTCTACAATTTGAATAACACTGACTTCACCCGGGAAAATTAAATTGTTTCATTTCAGAAACCCGTGGTTTACGAGACCCGATCCAGACAGACACCCTCCAGGACCAGGCACAGCTTATGATGCACGAATACATCTTTTCACATCACCCTGGAAACAAAGCACGTTTTGGGAAACTCCTACTTCTCCTTCCGGCTCTGCGGACTATCAATGCGCGGACCATTGAGGACATATTCTTTCGCCGTACGATCGGGAGCATACCCATCGAGAGACTCTTGTGTGACATGTTCAAGTCTAGTTAAAACTTCGTTATCCAGTCACTTATCCATACGCGTTGATGCTGCTGGAACAAATTTCTGCTCATCGGTGGAAACACCCTGAAAAGAAACTATTGTGCAGAATGATGTCATGGAGGAGCAACTCCAATGTTTGCTTCAAGATAGATGGTTTGAGAGAATATCCCAGATAACCAAGTATTCTTAGTTTGTGATTCTGGTAGTGGATGTCAAGGTCACAGCCATAGCAACTGAGCGTGTTTAGTTGTCGCCATAGTAACTGTTATGGTGTTACGTTGGTAACCATTTTGTTAGGGTAGATGGATCTACCCGTGTTGTTAAGTATTTGTTAAGTTTTTATATTGGTGCTACATATCTTGGAGTGCATATTGAGTTTTCGCGTGTATGTGGCAGTTAGTTTGGGCGAAAGACCAATCATCTCACGGAGATCCACGTGTTGTATTGAATATTAAAGACCCAACTAAATGAGAGGCCAAACAGAGTAGTCGCCCTTGAACTGATATTTGGATGAAACAGTCTGGAGAACCAAAGAATAGCCCCAAGAAAGGACAATAAGAGCATTTAATTTGTAATTTTACGCAACCGGTCTCTTAAGACTAACCGCATTTTATTTCATTCAAATGAGCTAAGTGTTTAAAGTAGACATTTTTGAGGAGAATTATGTTTTTCTTTTAGCAAAGTTTATATAGTCTAAATGTTCGTGGTCTCTATCCTATTGAATGTATGTTTTCAATTCAAATATCACTCGGAGGATTCCGTTACTCAACATCTAGTCTCGGCTGTATGACGGTAAGTGATATGTACCTACGCCTATACAATTGCGATGCGGCACCGGTTTACTTATTAGGAAAACTTGCCGCTTTTGAAAAGAAGTTATCAAAATTGCGTCGTTCAAAGCGTGGGTAAAATTTTCGGTGCAAAGTTGTCCTTGTTTGAAGAAAATCGGATAAACTTGAAAGAAAAAAAGCTCCAGACTTTGTAATCAGGGAACTTGAAAGTAGTCCCAATGGCGGACTTCGTAATATAGCCGAGGCTAGATGTAGGGTACTGGAATCTGCTGAGGTTTGCCGAGTGTTCAAATATTTGCCAATCGGGACTACCAAGAGAATAGTCCACCACTAAGTAAATAATCTAAGTAAACAAGGACAGATAAATTTAATATGTAGCCTACATGTTTGTATAAAAGAACTTATCGTATTGTTCATAGATTAGTATGTTTATATTTCGTATATGGTTAACAGTAGTTGTAAGTAAATATTAAATAAATAAATCGACATGTAGGATATTTATTTAAAGTAACACGAGGAAGGTTTCACAAAGGATTCTCAGACTTCAGTTAAGAATTTACCCAACTTTCAATCACTGTTTATAAGAAATATCTTTGATCCAGAAACACAAAACTTTGCACATAGTTTCTTATTGATGTATTTGATACATTAAAACAACAAAAGTTTTATAAAGGGCCTAAGGCGATTAATTTTGAGTAAATTTTAATTTAAGTCTGATAATGTTTTATGAAACCGGGACATGGGCTGTATAGATATCAATTAAAAATGCATTGTAAATATTCCCACGCCCCCATTCAATATTCGTAATTACATGTATGTATAACACAAAATAAAAAAAACATAAAATATTTGTCTTTGTTGAGTTAATAAAAATATATTTTATTTCACTTTCGAAAAGTAATGAAATGAAATGGAGTTTAACGTCCTACTGTTCTGCTCCGAATGGACTAACGACGACGGGCATACGCCATACAGTGTGCTACGAGGGAAATTTTCCCCAGGAAGCGGCACTATGACGTACTCTTAAATCGAATTCCAACTGCCAAGGGATCTTTTACGTGCATGCCAATGTATACACGCGACCTCGTTTTTTTGTCTCATCCGAACGACTAGACAGCTTTCCTTGTCAGGCCACCGACAATAAAAATCCTGATGAACTTTCTCCGCCAATGCAGGGATCGAACACGCGACCTCCAGGCTAGCGAGCCAGCGTTTTACACACTTAGTCACCGTGGCTCCGGAAAGTAATACATATAATAACGAATTTAAATAGTTGAGGTGGGATTAAAAGAAACACCTGATATCACTTCCCATTGTGGGGGTTTAGTGGCCGAATGGTTGAATCACCAGATCTGTCATTGAGTCAACTGGCGAGGTTTCAATTCTCCGGTTGTATGTGACAAGGAGTAGGGTCGCCTGTCCATCCTCGTGGGTTCGGTTTCCTCCCACTGCTAAAGACCCCCACGTGCAAGTTAATTAGTGAAATAAAACTGAACCATATGCTTGTATCGAAATGACCTAGTTTGTGTCGAGTGGACGTTACCCCCCCCCCACCCCCGCCATCTCCCCCCCCCCCAACTCTCTCTCTCTCCTTTGTGGAAATGTTCCGCTGTGACTCGTTCCTCGATGTGTGTTGTATGGACTGCTAGTAGGGAAAGGATTGACGTTTATAGTATTTAGTTAGCCACATAAGCCTTCCTATATAAAATAAAAAAGGGTAAGCATGCCCTACCCCTTACACTACATCTGTCAATGGCAGACACAGGATGACTGCACCATACATAACAATTAACTAATAGACCACGTATCGTCTTCATTATCCCGGTTGATTCCGGTAGGATGTTAAACCCTAGTTCATTTCTAAAAGCAAGCATGGTCAAGACAAAATTAAACATACATTATTCAAGAGCTAAATCTGCCTATGGCATGTCTTTCTTTAGGCCTATAATGTTATCTAAATTATTAATTAGACATTAATTAACTTATCCAGACCATAATCAACTCTCGATGGCATCGCTAGTCTGCGATATTTACTGGATTTGAATCCGATTTGCTGCTCAACGCTCATTGATGATTTAGTCCAAAAATCGATAATCGAGACTTATGTTTTTTATCGCACCGACTTTAGTAATGGTGATCGAAGCTAGGTCTAAAATTCAAAAGGTAATATATTGGTTCATACTGGATCAATTTGACTGAAATTTTCAGCACATTCCCTTTCCATTATCTAGTTTGTAACTATTATACTGAGAACTAACAGCTCGTTATCTAATCTCCCATAATGTATCTTTAAAGTATTGCTGTTATTTGAAGAGATATTCGCTCACATTCCCTTTCCATTATCTAGTTTGTAACTATTATAGTGAGAACTAACAGCTCGTTATCTAATCTCCCATAATGTATCTTTAAAGTATTGCTGTTATTTGAAGAGATATTCGCTTTACATTCTCTAGTTTTTAACTATTATAGTGAGAACTGCCTGTTCTTTATCTAATTTCCCATAATGTCCCTTTAAAGTATTGGTGTGATTTGAAGCGATATAATATATTCGTATTGTGGAACTACTCGCTTCACGGTTATACAATATGTACATGACGTATGTAAATGTATAATTTGTTTGATGAAGACGAGAGTATCCTCGTCGAAACATCGCTTAGTATTAAACTCAGTAATTGCGTATCCATAAAATTGTACCTTGTGTTAATATGTTCAATTACTAAATGCCAATCAAAACGTCGCTTAGTATTAAACTCAGTAATTGTGTATCCATAAAATTGTACCCCGTGTTAATCTGTTCAATTACTAAATGCCAATTAAAGAAGATTATTGTTCTGTTTCTAGATAGTTGGATGATTCACCTGTCGTCCATATTTCCACCTTTCTTGAGACAAATTTTCCCGTACATTTAGCACCATAATCTAGAAAGATTGTTTGGGTAACGCGAAATTTATCGCTTGCTAAACCATCTTGTAATGTACCGCGATGGATTCTGATGTGGGTGTAGGCTTGTGGAGATATTTCTCTGAAACAAATAATACACAAAATAATTTTGTCAAACTTTTATAAATAGATTATAGATTATGCATATCTATCTGTACATTTCCTTGTCGGTCACGTCTTGCAATAAATTGGGCGCTCTTGACAAAATCGCTCTTGTAGGTGATTAGTCGGACCGAGTATATATGAGAAAGAGAGATGGGGTTTAACGTCCACTCGATACAAACTAGCTCATTTCGGGACTAACACATGGTTTAATTTTATTTCAATAATTCGCTTGCGCGTATGGGGTCTTTAGCAGTGGGAGTAAACCGGAGGACCCGGAGAAAACCCACGAGGTTAGACAGGCGACCCTACTCCTTGTCACGTAGAAACGGGGAATCGAAACCCCGCCAGTTCACTCAATGACAGACCGCATGATACAGCCCTGCGCGCACCTGCTAACCATTCTGCCATCCAATTTTTTTGACCGAGTATATACAAATTAAATTTAAAAAAAACTTTAATGTAAGCGGTGCAGTGTGACATTTCTGCGCGCACCTGCTAACCATTCTGCCATTCAATTTTTTTGACCGAGTATATACAAATTAAATTAAAAAAAAACTTTAATGTAAGCGGTGCAGTGTGACATTTCTGCATTATGTCACTTCAGTGTTACGTAGATCTAGGTCACACAGAGATAAGAGAGAGAGATAGAGAAAGTGAGATAGGGTTTAACGTCCACTCGTCACAAATTAGGTCATTTCGGGACTAACACATGGTTCAATTTTATTTCAATAATTCGCAACCGGGGAATCGAAACCACGCCAGTTGACTCAATGACAGATCTTATGATGCAACGCACACGCACTAACCATTCGACCAACCACCCCCATCACCCCCAGAGATAAAGAGATAAGATAAAAGCCTATATACCGTACTAAGTAAGATAAGAGTCGAATCCATTCTTTATTATTGTTCTCGCTAGACTTTGTTCTCTATAATATTGAGGTGGGAGTCATGTACCGAACAACGATTCAAGCCTCCTTTGGTACAAACACATGTTACTTTAATTTAACGGGATCATTTCAAAGGCCAAAAGTACAATTTGAATACCAAAACACTGGCGTATTTATTAGATAATACGGGGCCACGCAACACAACAAACGATGTAAGAACATAGCATACATTGACTGAGAGATATAAATTAAATAGAAACTCGATACAAAATAGGAGTTATTT